CTATATCTAGGCTGAGCAAGGTAGCCATCCAAAGATAATAGGTTCATAAAAAGCCAGTACAAGCAGTAGGGATAAATCTGGTGCCCCTGCCAGTAGCCGCTCAGTTTGCCACAGCCATGCAACTGTCACCGACATTTAGAGGGACTAGTTTGGTCCTATGCTTGTTCCTTCCCAGTCTGGCTGGTGTTGGAGAGCTCCCATTAGCTCAGGTACACTGTTTCAGTGGATGTACCCATCATGGTCTTGACCTCTTTGCTCATATTCTCATTCCTCCCACTCTTCAACTGGACTTTGGGAGCTTGGTCCAGTGCTCTGATGCAGGTCTCTGCCTCTGTCTCCATCAGTTGCTGGATGAAGGTTCTATGGTGATATTTAAGATATTCTTCAGTCTGACTACAGGACAATGCCAGTTCAGGCAGCCTCTCCTCTATTGCTTAGGGTCTTAGCTGGGGTCATCCTTCTGAATTCCTGGAAATTTCTCTAGTGCCAGGTTTCTTACTAATCCCACAATGACTCCCTCAATCAAGATATTTCTTTTCTGGCTCTCATCTCTGTCCTTTCTCCATCTCAACTATCCCATTCCCTCCCTCAAGTTCTCCTCACCTCTCCTCTTTTCCCCTCTTCTTCCCCTTTCACCCTCTCTTCTCCCCCCCAAGCTTATATTCCTAATTTTGTCAGGTGATCTTTTCTATTTCGACTTTCCAGGTGAGTCTATATATGTTTTTCTTAGGGTTCACCTTGTTACTTAGCTTCTCTAGGATCATGAATTATAGGCTCAATATCCTTTGTTTATGGCTAGTATCCACTAATGAGTGAGTCCATACCATGTTCATCTTTTTGAGTCTGGGTTACCTCACTCAGGATGGTGTTTTCTAGTTTCATCCATTTGCATGCAAAATTCTTCCATTTCCTTTTATGTGGACTGCAACCAAAAGGTGTAGCCCAGATGTAGGGGAAGTCTTTCTACTTCAGATATTCCAGTCAAGAAAACCCCTCACAGGCATGGGCAACTGCTTAGATTTTTGTTGATTCCAGATGTGGTCAAGTTGATACTGTTCTTACTAGATTTTATACATTGATGTCATCATATACCTTATGAATCTCAGACATCATTTGTTGTCATCAACGTCGTTGTCATCATCATCACCACCACCACCACTTCTATTATTAGCCCAGGCTTGCCTTGATTCTCCCACCTCCTCCTCTAGAACACTGGGAATTGACAGGCACGTACTACCATGCATGGCCTATATTTTAACAGTTAACAATCTTAGATTTAAATATGAAGGAAAATTTTTGCATATGGAGCTAGAGGGATGACTCAGGCAGTACAGTGCCTGCTGCTCAGTATGAGGACCTGAGTTCAAATCCCAAGGGGGAGAAGTGGAGTTTGGTGGAATGAGCCTAGCTTGAGGAAACAGAGACAGGAACTTGCTGGTTGACTTGTTTTGCTGAATGGGTGAGCTCCAGGTTCAATGAGAGATTCTGTATAAAAAAAAAAGGTATAAAATGATAGAGGAAAATATTTGACATTCGCCTTTGTCCACTATAAACTGCATACATTTATGCTGACACAAAGGTATAAGCATGTATATATGCTCCCTTCTTCTTGAAGGATGTTGTTCAATAATTTTTGATCTCTCATACTGTGTATGTCTTCCAAAAATTTTTGTTGGGGACAGTGGTGCTTGCCTCTAATCCCAACACTCTGGTGATAGAGGCAAGAGAATCTTGAGTTTGTGGCAAGTCTCAGCTACATGACAAGCCCTGTCTCAAAACAAACAAAAACAAAGTCGAGTTATCATTTTTGGAAGGTTTGTTTACAATAAATAGAGCTTTAAGTGGACTAGTTATTTGCCTCCTTATACTTTAGACATATTGCTTTACAACTTTCTGGATTCCATTTTTCTCAACAAGAAATTTGCTGTCAAAGGAAAATCTTTGTCTACTGGTTTTGAGTAACTAACCTTTATGACAGCACAATATAATTTGTTTATGGAGTTCCTTGAATCTATTAATTTAATATTTTCCTCAAAATAGGAAACATCTTTAGTCATTATTTTCTTAAATGTTTTACTGGCCTGTTTTCCAGGGATTCAAATTACAGATATAGTGGGATGCTCAAAGTTCTCATTGAATAACTCAGTGATCCTTTGCCATTTTTGTCTACCAGTTTCTGTCACTCTGTACATTTCACTTGGCTGACTTAGCTTGTTATATCAGGTTCACTGATTCTTTCTTCAGGAATATGCACTCTCATTAGTACTATCAAGTGTGTTCTTCATCTCTGAAAATAAAATTTCCATTTCCAAAGGTTCAATATCATTCTTTTTTTATATTTCCTGTGGTGCCTGCACCACCTGGAACCATGTTTGGGCAAAGGTCTGGGAGTAAAGAACACACAAAGACATGGGTCACTCTTGAAGCAAGAATGCCAATTTTATTATGTTCCAAGGCAACTTATATAGTGCTCTCCTTAACTAGTGGCCATACCCTAGCTCTCAGGATTTTTTTACTGCAAGCCCACTGGAAACTACTTCCTTGTTATCAGGAACTCATGAGGGTCCCATGCTCAGAGCAGCTACTAGCATAGAAAAAACATGTTGTTTACTCCAGCAGGCAAGGGGTCATAGAAAGTTCAGGGTCTGAGGGTCTGCAGCTCCCAACAGCTTCCCATGTCTCTATTAACTTTTTAAACACACAGAGTAGAGCTATAACCACTGTTCTAATGTTTTAGCTTAGGGACTCTCACATGTCAGTTCTAGCATAGGAACTCTCCTGTGGAAATGGCCTAAACATAGCAACTCTAACATCTGTGTTGGAACCAAAAGGATTCCAATGGATCACTGTTTCCTTTCCATGGCCTTTATTTTCTTACTTCTTTGAATGTCTAGCTATAGGATGCCCGACATTGTAACTTTACCTTGCTATTTTCTAAATACTTTTTATTCTTTTAATTCGACATACTGCTAGAAAGAAATAATGCAGTTAAGCTTCCTGGAAACAGTGTATCCTTTCAGCTTTTGTTGGTTTTCTGGGCAGTGCCAAAGCAATGACCTATCTACCCAATAACATGCTTTACCACCCAGGCCACATCCTTCACATTGTCTACCCCATGAATGATGAGGATCTCTAGTCTGTGCTGCAGTCTTGCTGTCTTGCAAGTGTGTGTGGTCCTTAAACATGGCTGGGGTGATGAGGGAACGAAGGTAGGACAGGAACTAAAGAAATAACAGACATATACACAAAAAAGCTGGAGTCAGGTGGGCTGAGCACACTCTGAAAGAGTGGCACGAGCCACACCCACAGCACAGAAACCACAGTACAGAACCTCAGCACAATTACTGTGTACAGCTTAGGGGCAGGAGTAAGCTAGTCGCTAGGAGCTCTCTGCAGGGGCGCAGTCTCAGGCTGTAAACACCAGGAGGAAGAAGCTGCACTTGCTAGTGTTTGCACACTGTAGTCAATTATTCATAAACATTTATACTTGGACCACAGAAAGGCTTTGCCATTCTGAGCCTGACCCCTACTGGAATGGCTGCCCCATGGGTCTGAGGCACTGGGTACTTGATATGGCTATGTAGCAATACACATTCATCTGGGATTTTGTTTGTTTGTTTTTTGCTTTTCAAGACAGGGTTTCTCTGTAGCTTTGGTGCATGTCCCGGAACTAGCTCTGTAGATCAGGCTGGCCTCGAACTCACAGAGATCCGCCTGCCTCTGCCTCCCAAGTGCTGGGATTAAAGGCGTGCGCCACCACCGCCCGGCTCATCTGGGATTTTAATCACTTGGAACACGGTCAAGGCTTCCTCAGCCCCTCCCACTGTGTAGTAAAAACAGGCACCATTCCTGGCCTTGCCCGGGTAGTAGGCACTGTAGTGGTTCCTCTGATTTTTTTTTTTTTTTTTGGTTCTTTTTTGAGTTAGAGACTAGTATCTTTACTTTGCATTTCTCAAATTAAGTTCAAAAGCCATCCCTAAATGCCTATTCTGTGTAAAGCGAGCCATTAGTATTGATTACTGAGTAAGTCCTTTGATAACAAGCAAAGAAACAAAACAGAACTCAAAAAAAAAAAAAAAATACAGCTCCAGGTTGTCCTGAGGTTAAACCTCACACTGTTCAGCTCCTGAGCGCTGGGCACTCATTTTACACACTTCTTTCTCCATCTCTTGCCATCACACTCTCAAACGGAGCTGTGAAATAATAGTCTACGTTACCAGTTCGCTCAACATTTCCTGAGCTCCTACTATGTGTGAGACACCACGCTGAATGCTGACCTTGTGAGGGCCACCAGACAGGCTTTGTCCTTAAGGAAGTCACAGTCCAATAGGAGAGAAGACTGAGCCAGAGAGTCTTAACTATTTGGAAGACAAGACTCTAAAGCAGAAAATGCATAGAGGTGGGATCTAATTTCTTGGAAAACCGTTAAGTTCCTTGCTTCACAGATTCCCAGCAATGATTTTTATATGGTGAGCACTTAGGGCAGAGTTTAAAAAGCCAGTCTTCCTAGAGATATGCTTGGACAATCACATCAACGTTCTGAGTCTGTTTCCTTATCCGTGACATAAAATCCATGAAACCTGTACCTATTCCACTGGGTCATTCTAAGAATTATCTGTGGTGGGTGAGAGCATGCGGGTAAGCGTGTGTGTTGTATGTGTGTGTCTGTCTGTCTGTCTGTCTGTGTATGTGTGTTTGTGTGAAAACAGACAGAACCAGAGGCAATGACTGTCACACGCACAGTTCATCAAACAAGGTCCCTAGTCCGAATGGAAAGAGATCTGCCGAGAGTAATCCCATGTAACACGTGAGAGAAGTGAGACACCCCAGTATCCAGGGAACTGGTGGACACAGCGTAGAAAGGTCTGCGAGTGGCCCGGTGTTTCACAGCAAGCCCCCTGGGTCTCCCACGCCAGCGCCGGTTCCTCGGAAGCCCCGCCTCCCCAGCGGCGCGCGCAGCACCAAGGCCCCGCCCCCGGCCCGCTGCATCTCGCGGGATCTCGTGAGTACGGCCGGGTCAGGTGCAGTCATGGAGGCAGAGGAGGCAGATGTGGATGTGGAAGGAGATGTGCAGGCGGCTGCACAGCCGGGGTGAGGCGCTGAGCGGGGTGCTGCGGGCCGGGCGGTGCTAGGCGAGGGTTGGACGATACGATCGCAGGGGCTGCGTCGGGACTCGGGCTGCTCCTGACCGGAAGTCGGCTGGGTCTGCGGATCGGGGCGTGGACCGAGCGTCCCGACCCGACTGTTTTTAGTTGCTTCCCGGAATGCAGTGGCCGTGTTCCAGTTCGGATTCCTTCCTGCATTCGCTTTGTCTCGGGCTCCTCACAGCGACTTGAACACGGGCATCTGGTCCAGAGGACCTGACTTCGTAGGCTCTTAGTTCTGCGTCAGCAAGCGACCTTGGTCAAGTCGTTTGATTTCTTCTTCGCAGAGAAAGTTGTGAAAACTTGCGGAAAGGCAGTTTTCAAGGGGGTCCAGATTTTATAGTTGGACAGTTCTGGTTTTCCTTCTGCAGTCGCTCTTCCTGTTTACTGTCACTGTGACCCGGGTCAAGGCATTTGAGCCTCTGCTCGCTTGCTTGAAAACTAAAGAATCACGTGTCAATCATACTGTTGGAGCGTCGATGAAGTAATCGAGAAGGATGCTTTAGCATACTTTAGATGCCCGACAGTGTTTTTTAATGTCTTAGAGATAATACAGTGAAGATCCAGTGAGGGATGTTAAACACCAGTGCCTGCAGGACGGGCGGTGTGGTTTTAAACTGAACCTGCTTTGACACCTTACTTTAGGAGTAAGAATTATCCCTCCTTTTAAGTAATGGGAACCAGAATGGGAGCTAAGGTAGAAGCCAGAAGACCTGAGTTGTAAATGCAGCCAATTACATTATTCGTAACTTGTCAGCAACTTCGTTCGAACTCTTTTGAACTATATGCTTTTACTAATATTGGTCTGGTTTTGGTCCATATAGTGGCTGGTATAATCCATCTGACTGGAGACTGCTTGATTGTATAGAGTACCGGCTTTCCCAATGAGTTACCAAAATAAGGAGCATTTACACATGTCCTGTGAACTCTTAAAGCATTTAAGAGTTACGTAAGGGGTAGTTAAGTTCGTATGATTATTTTTCTCTGGAGCTCTTGTGGGGAGCCCGAGATAAAAGCAATTCTTCACACTGGTGTAATCATTCAGTTTTAAACAAGTGCTTGTGAGTTTGTGGTTTTTAACTTTTGTAAGTCAGTGAGCTAAGTGGGCAGGGACAGTTGTTTGGAATTCACGAAGGAAAGAATTCGTCTCTGGTTCAACAGCATTACCTAAGAGCGTTGGCTCTATGCCTTTTTTCGTAGATTTATCTTAACTTTTCTGGTTGTGTTTCGTTTGTCTCCCTTTTTCTTTGTTGTACCGTTTTCTTGGCAAGGGTCTATTGGTGGCATTTGTAATGTTAACCTTATGTGTTAGGACTGAAACCCAGGACAAATGGCTGAGGTGCCCATTTAACATAGATCCTCCCAGCATCCCTAAGTCCTTAGCTGGCATACCCTGTGCCATACCCTAAATTTTTCCAGCCCTGGGCCTGGACTTTCCTGACCCCAAATACCCTTCCCTATATAATCCAGCCATTTTGGTCAACTGGCCCTTTTGGTCTAGCCTTTACTCTCTTGGTCAGTGTCTTCTCTCCCTTCTCCCCTTCGTCTCCTCCCATGGCTCTACTTGGGGTCATCTTGACTCTCCTAGATGTCCCTGCCTCTGCCCATACTCTCCCTTTTATCTATAGTAGACTTTCTCCTCTACCATACCTAGGAACAGTTATGTTCTTCCTTTTTTGTTTATTTTTCCTGATTGATCATTCAAGCAGGGTTATGAAGGTTCCTGATGTCAGCCTCTGCTTAAGGAGCATCATTGATGTTATTACCGGTGGAATGGTGCCCTGTGATGCTGGAGTTAGAATCATCTTGACTTGAGCATGACCGGTGCCCTTGAGGTGTGCTGTTATAGAGGACAGTAGCGTTTAAGGAGCTCTTGGGGATTAGTTTGAAACATATTGCTTTTAAGCACATACTGAAAGCTAGGTACAAAAATGGAACATTGCATTTTGGTTTTCCTTCAACTGTTATTTCTTCTCACCTTCCTTTTCTGTATGCTTTTAAAGACCTTGTTGGTGAAAGGTATGCTTGCTGCCATACCCAGTGATATCTTCAAGCCTGGCATCTCTACTGACTAAATTTCTGTGAGGTTCTTTTGCTGCCCTGCCATTCTGATGCAGTTCCTTAAGTTCCACCTATATTTGCTTTCCCCAGTCTTTCATTGGTCCACCTCCTTCTGAGCTCCAAACCAGGACTCTAGTTTCTCTCACATGCAGTACCTCAGCGCCTTCCTCTTTTTTTTTTTTTTTTTTTTGATTTTCGAGACAGGATTTCTCCAAAGCTTTTTGGTTCCTGTCCCGGAACTAGCTCTTGTAGACCAGGCTGGCCTCGAACTCACAGAGATCCGCCTGCCTCTGCCTCCCGAGTGCTGGGATTAAAGGCGTGCACCACCACCGCCCAGCTGCACCTTCCTCTTTAAGACCGTCTCTGCTGTCCCTGTTGAATACATGGCAGCAGCATCCAGCCAGTCCAAGAGCACAGACCTGTACTCCCTCCCCTTTCCTTTTGCCATTTTTCTACTCCCCCATCTGGTCAGGTTTTAAAAGCCCATTGGTATTAAGGATTATCCCAAATGACACTTCTTGTTCATACTGCTTTTTTTTTTTTAGATACAAGTTGTTGCTGTGTTTCTCTAGTATTTTTGTAATTCTCTACCGCTATTCTTCTTAGTCCCTTTCCATTCTAAAGTTAAATCTTTTTTACATCCAAATCTGATTTTTACCTTCAGTTTCCAATTGCTTTTAAGGCAAAGTTTTTTTTTTGTTTGTTTGTTTTTTTTTTTTTTTTTGGTTTTTCGAGACAGGGTTTCTCTGTGGTTTTGGAGCCTGTCCTGGAACTAGCTCTTGTAGACCAGGCTGGTCTCGAACTCACAGAGATCCGCCTGCCTCTGCCTCCTGAGTGCTGGGATTAAAGGCGTGCGCCACCACCGCCCGGCTGTTTGTTTGTTTTATTGTGTCATTTTGTTTTGTTTGAGCCAGGTTCTCATATAGCTCAGGCTGGCCTTGCTATGTATTAGACTCCTGATCCTCCTGCCTCTACCTTCTAAATTCTGGAATTACAGTTAAGTATCACCATGCCGGGATAGTTTTGTGGTAAAGTACTTATTCCTTAACTGTTACAGATCTCTGGTCCATTACCCACCCAACTGCCTTGTTTACTCATTCCCTCAATTGCTGATTATATTCTGTATTTCGCTCCCTGAGCATATATAGCAATGTGAAAATGAAATCCCTGCTGTCATAAAACCCTTAATTCTTGTTGGGTGGAACAGACAGTAAACCTTATGTGTGTGTTTAGTAAATGGACAAGGGTGAAGGAAGATGTTTGGATGGCTTGCCAGTTTTATTCTCATGCACTGACCCGGTAAGGGTCTTAAAGTGTGAAACCAATGGGCCCTTAGAACAGAGAGTGGAAACAATGACAGAAAGGGCCAGGCTGAATTGGATCATTTGGACCACTAGAGAGATTGACGTTTCAGAGGCTAAGAGGAAAATGAAGCCTGGCAGATGTGAGAGGAAAGGTTATTTTAAGCTGAACCATGTAAAGGAGATTCAGGGAGGCGTTCAGATACATACATCAGCGTGTGAATGAGGCTAATCCTTACTGTAGTATACTATATGAAAAGATTTCTGCATAGGCCCACCTGTTGCACTCTTGGTAGACCTAGTTGTGCAAAGGTTTTTTTCTACTGACACAGCCATAGAAGCCTTTATTAGACTCTTTGAAATCACAGTTGACGTGAGTTTAGAGCTGTTTGGTGTCAGTAGTTGAGAGAAATTGCTTTCAGTTCATAGAGTGTCTTATTACTAGGTTAGATCGGGAAAAAGTCAATAATTTCACTAGGAAACATAAATTTAATGTTTGCCTGTTGTGTGCTTGAAGTTGATTACGTCATACCTTGAGACCCTCCAAACCCGACTGTTCCGTCTTCTTGTAAGTGAAACATATATTGTACTTATTTCAGTGAAAAAGAAAATGACAGAATTAGTAAACTTTGATCTCTTGTGGATACAGAAATCTTCTAAATCAAATTACTTTTAAGTTAAGTTGTTGCTAAATTCCTTCAGTACCTTTTATTTTAGTTCTTACGTCTAGTTTTGTTTGTTTTTCATTTTGAGGGTGGTTGGGTTTGTGGCTTTGATAGTTCTAACAGATGTAGCTATAGAGTTGTGTGCATGTGTATACTTGTCTCTTGGCCTCAGCGTGCAGTGGCTTTTGTGCTTGCATTATAGCTTCCCCACACAGGTTTACAAGGTAGAGCAGGTACTGTTGGAGTGTTCCGTCTTTGGTAAGGAGGGGAAGGTGTCTGCTTAGCATTAACAATGGCCAGCCCTATCCTGTGTGAGTTATAGTTGTAAATGGATATAACATCGCTCTTCTATTAATTTTTATATTTATTACAGAAATGATGAAAACACAGCATCAGTCTTTCAAGATCACTATCTTGATTCAACATGGGGAAGGGAGCATGGCTGTCTTGTAAGTATGCTGTCCAGTGACTTGACACTGCCCTTATTGTCCAGAGCGCCCTTTTTCCTTTCCTGAGTACTAGTTCTCCACAGTCCCATAGGTAGTATATGGAAACACTTCCTTTAAAAATACAGAAGCCTTTTTTTTTCAACTAGGGAAAAACCGATCTCTTGAGAAATAAGTTCAGATTGATTTGATTAGGTATAAATCTCTATCACACGCCTCACACTTGTCAGCTTTGATTTCGGCAGGGGAAGGATGGGCATAACCACAGGGTCACGGCTTCATTAGCAGCAACTGCGTACTCGCCATGCCAGACAGCAGGGCAGGTTAAAGTGCTTCAAGGTAGATGTGACTTTGCTCTCATGGAATCTAGAGACAAAACAGGATCCTGGCAGGAAATAGGCAGACAAACCCTTTGTCGATTATGAAAGAAATAAGCAGTGTTGACTGAGGTTAGTAGAGTGGGGGAGTACTTGAGGAACAGTCAACAAAGGACACTGAGAAGGACACTTAAGTTGAAATGTAATGGGGAAAGTGACTGGACAAATGAAGACTTATAAAAACTGACATGCTCGGCAGAAGGAGTAACAAGTGTGGAAGCACCGGCTTATGCTCGAGGGTTTCAATTTTGTCTAACTGCGATGTCATTGAAATATTTCTATAACTTTCAGTACACACTAGTGGGTTCATTTTTGTCAAATATGCTTTGGGTGCTGTGGTGAAGAACAGTGGGGGAAGCAAGAGGAGAAACAGGAACTGGCTAGGAACCATTTGCAATAATGCAAGCAAGAGATCAGTGGCTTGGTCCTGTGTGTTCCAGTAGAGGTGTAATTGAACCAATTTGAATTAGATTTTAAAGGTAGAGCTGTCTAGCAGATCGCATATGGAGATGGAAGAGAAACGAAAGAATCCATCGTGATTCTTAGCCGTTTAAGTGGTTGATGGTGCTCTTGGCAAAGTTGGAAAGACAGGCGGACACAGGTGATACTGGATTCTGTTTTGTATATGTTTCATTTGAAAAGCCAGTTAGACCATCAAAAGGTCTTGTGTGGGATAGTGACTAGAATAGTCTGGAGTTTAAAGAGATAGGAGTTGAAATTTTGTAACCTTGAAACTTGAAATGAGTATGATCATTTACTTAGGGTAATGGAATTGAGTTTTGGAAATAGGTTAAGTAGTCCGCAAAATGCCTGAAGCCTAGGAGTTCTTTTGTGTATGGCAGCCATTATTACTGCTTACAGTTAAAGGGGCGTGAGCCTGGGAATCCAGCAGGCTTTCGTGTGAGGTTTCCTTTCTTCCACCCAAAATGCCACTCAAAATGCTGCGGATGCATCTGTGAACTGTTCGTACTGTCTCAGGGTGATTGTGAAAATCAAAGTGTGGCTGTGTGCTCATTAGTGAGTTGTAGCTGTTATTGTTTATATCATGTATTTATATATATTAGTGAGTTGTAGCTGTTATTGTTTATATCATGTATTTCACTCAATGAAGTAAGATAGCTCTTTAGGTAATGAAATATTCTGTTCTTTCTTTCAATTAGCCTTGGACTCTGGATAGCACCATCAGTGCCGAGAACAGAGCTGTCATCGAGAAAATGCTGTTGGAAGAAGAGTATCCTTCATCCATTATGAGAAGAGTAAAGGTTTCAGGGTTAAAAGCGAATCACTGCAAACATTATAGAAGAGGACATATGTAATTGCTAGATGACTGTTTAGCAATTCGACTGTGTCATTTTATGTCGTCTGAGACTGACACAGTGTTCTTGTTAGTCATGTCCACATGTAGGGTGTACATATTGCATAGAAATGGTAAAAGATTTAAGTCAGAACTCCAATTCCAAGCTTCCATTTTCAAAGTTATAAAAGCTAAAACTCAGAAATTCTACCTGTACAAGGCATACGTTTAGAACATGTGGAGCTTTTCACATTATACTCTGCAGTTTACAGATGTTATTTGAGGGGAATTTTAAATGAGAAACAAAATAAATTGATTTCTGTCCCCCAGCCCCGGTGGGGGTTAGGTCCTTATCTGTGACTCAGCCACTGACTGATTATTCTGATTGGTTTCAGTTTAACTTCGAGACTCAGTTGTTTTTTTTTTTATGTCAAATGAGAGGATATCAGTAATTTCAGAAAATTTCAGTAAATCAGTAATTTCTGATTTTCTGAATTTAAAGATTACTAGCAAATAGTGGCTTAAAAAACATTTTCCATATGCTTTTTATGGCTATCTGTCCACTATTATTGTTGTTATTATTATTATCATTATTTATGTGTATTTTTGTTTGCATGTATGTCTGTGAACCTCTTGTGTTCCTGGTGCCTGTGGAGACCATAAGGTTGTCAGATCTTCTGGAACTGGAGTTACAGACAGTTGAGAGCTGCCATGGGGGCGCTGGAATCTAACTCAGGACTTCTGAAAGAGCAGTTAGTGCTCTTTAATTGTTGAACCATCCCTCCAGTCCACTATTTAATCCAGAACTTCAGTTATTTTATTCTAAACTGCTCTATTAATTTAAGAATGTTTTCTATATCTTTAGTTGCCATTGGTTAGCCCCTTACACTGTAATTCTTCCCACATATTGCCTAGACTACTTTTTTTAATGAGAGGCACATTTAATCTCCAATTTCCTAGTAGCCTCATTTAAAATAAAATAAATGAATTTTTATATTATATACCTTTTTACAACATAAACTCTCTGCTTATATGAAAACATTGTATTTTGTGTGTGATAATATATACATGTGTGCAGAGCTCAGAGGTTGACTTGAAGTGTTTTCTTTATTTCCTCTCCAAGTGATTTTTCGAGGCAAAGATTCCTATGACCCAGAAGCTCACTGATTTGACTGGCTAGGTAGGCAAAAGCTCTAAGGATCCACCTGTGTCTGCCCCCTACTGCTGGGGTTATATGTGCACAAGCCACTGCACCTCGCTTTCTACATGGATCCTAATTAGATTCTTATGATTGTATAGCAAGCATTGATTGAACCATGTGTCTAGCCCCAAATGAAAACATCATTAGGGTTTCATACTAAGTCTTTGGAACTCACAGTACATTTTAATTTAGCGCTGCATCTCAGTTAATGCTAGCTGTGTTCCAGATGCTTGATGCTCACATGTGACCAGTGGCCACCATGTTGAACTCTGCAATTCTACGTTATTGAACACTCAAGTAGGCACTTGTTCAGTTCCAGATGTGAAAACAAGTAGAGTAAGAGTTAAACATAAGCTCTTAGACACCAAATGTATTTGAGAGGGTAAGGAGAACCTCTATTATGTAGACATGTGGTTGATAAAGTTCAGACTTAGGGAACAGTTTTGTGGCAGGCTAGTCCCAGCAGTGCTGAGGGCTGCTTCTTCATATTAGTATGGAGAAGAATCCTGAACTCTTTGCTGTGACTTTTAAAACTATGAAAACAGTGGTTCCCATATTATCCTACAACAAATTTCATCAAAATAGATGATGAAATACTATTCATATTTTAGAAGAAGATTGAGCTACTTTGTCTCAGGCATTTATGGTAGAGAAGGAAGGGAAACCAGCATTTCTGTGGTGCAGGGCAGGTGTTATGTGTGTGTTATGTGATCGTTCGTTCCTACAGGCAACATGTGAAGCGTGGACTTACAGCCCTGGGCAAGCTTCAAGAGGAATAGGTTTTCATTACATTTAAATGTCTTCACCAGTCAGCCTACTTGATAGTACATAAGAATTATATGACTTTAATATTGCTTAATTTTCCTTAGTGTCTACATAGGTATTATTTGTCTAATAAATCACTTCCAGGAAAATTCTGGATTAATCAAAAGGAAGATGATAAAAAGCACACCAACAGGTAAAATCAGTTATATTACTATTAAAAGTTTTGAGTTACAAATTTAGGAACTTCTTCACAAGCTTCCTGTTTTCTCTTTTCATGTGCAGTCTGCAGAAAACAGCAAAAATCATGTATGTACCTATTCTTATTTTAAAAACTTTTTTTAAAAAATAGAAATCCTTTTTACTTTTAAAATTATGTGTGCTCACTTGTGTTTCTGTGTATGTGTGTGTAGTGTCTCTCTCTCTCTCTGTGTGTGTGTGTGTGTGTGTGTGTGTGTGTGTCTGTGTGTGAGTGCGTGAGTGCAGGTTCCCCCCAGAGACTAAAGGTGTCAGGTCCATTGGAGCTGAAGAAACGGGAAGTTGTTGCAGCCTGATAAGTGTGCTGGCAATTGAATACTGTAACTACTGAGCCATCTCTCCAGCCCCTTTAGACCTTTTCAAATCATTTGAAAATTATAAGAAAATTCTTTTTGGAGACAGGGTTTCTCTGTAGCTTTGGAGCCTGTCCTGGAACTAGCTCTTGTAGACCAGGCTGGCCTTGAACTCAGAGATCCGCCTGCCTCTGCCTCCCGAGAGCTGGGATTAGAGGCGTGTGCCCCCACCTCCCAGCTGAGAAAATTCTTAACAATTAGATATAGTCAGTAGGAAAGCTGTCTCGTTTCAAAGGACAGGATATTATTTTGAAAGAGGGTTTTGGCGTAGATGTTAGAATACATACTTTTATGCTGTCATTTATTTGCCAGAATTTTTTAAATATGTCTTTCTGTCGGCAGTTTATCACAAAATGAAGATATATTATGGATTGATTTGATTTCTTTTTGTTTGATAGTTTAAAAATCATTATGTACAATTTCATTTGGATCTGTGGCTTCTAAAATTTACTTACCAAAATTGGGCTGGGCATACTGGTGCATGCCTGTAATCCCAGTAGTTGGAGGGCAGAATCAGGATTTCCACAAGTTCAAGACCAGCTTGTTCTATATAGTGAGTTCTAGGCCAACCAGGAGTACACAGCAGCACCCTGTCTCAAAAAAATTCTAGAAAAGTTAAAGGTTTTACAAATATGCTTTCTTTTTGATTGGAAAAGAATGGTCATTCTTTAGCATTTATAAACTCGGGTTTGAGCATGAACAGACTTTGGCTTTTGTATTTTGCTGTACAAAGTAAAGTCAATGGGAAGACTGGATGCTTGATGAAATTGGAGAGTTTCCTTAGTCTACTTTATTTCTTGTGATGCAGAATTTAATTCTTAGGCTTTGGGAATATATTAATGGCTGCTCTTTGTTTTCAGTCTGAGGCCATCTCCTTGTACCAGAGAGACTTCTTTTGCTCTCTTTAGTGTTGTCCTCACTCAGACCCAAGATTATATTGTTTGGGGCTGTGTGTTTGTTTGTTTGTTTGTTTGTTTCCCATCACTCTCTTTCATTCTGGTAGAACTAAGGAACAGGTAAACCTTATTGCCCGGGTACCAGCTGCAGCAGCTGCTCCTTCCCCTCCCCCCTTTTCAGTAGACTAAAAGTCTTTGTTTTAGCCTGGTGACTGTCTATAACAGTGGTTCTCAACTGGCTGCAGCCCATTGGAGGTTTCAACAACCCTTTCACAGGGGTCACCTACCACTATCAGGAAACACACACATACTGTTAGGATTCATAACAGTAGCAGAATTACAGTTTTGAAGTAGCAGTGAAAATAATTTTATGGTTGGGGGTTACCACATCATGAGGAACTGCATTAAAGGGTCACAGCATTAAGAAATTGAGAACTACTGGTCTATAACCTTTAGCTGCATAAATATGGAATGTTTCATTTCAGATTTTTTTTTTACCTTCAGGGTACATTCTCCTACAAAACCAGCTAGTTATTCAGTAAAGTGGACAATAGAAGAAAAAGAACTATTTGAACAAGGACTGGTAAGTAGAGAAATTTTTAACTTACAGTAAAATTATTCTAGAAGCAAAAATCCCACAACTTTTAATAGGACATAAGCTTAATTCTTTATTTTTATTCAACTATCTAGCATTGTGCATAATCCACATTTTTCATTACATATATTTGAAAACCAAAAATACCTTTTGTATGACTGTTTCACTGAAATCTCTTAGAAGTTATGAAGTATTAAATATATGTATGTGATTCAAATACTAAAAATATGACATGGAGAAATGTTTAATAAAATGACCATTAATTTTTAAACAATCAAAAGTAGGTTGTCTATTTTCTAGGGTACATGTAACTTAGAATTATACTGAATTTGATTTTGAGAATGTATATACATTTTATAGGTAGTGTATAATATTTATAGAACATTTGAATAACATTGAATTATTAACATATACAAATCATGAGAAGTAAAATATGTTTGTATTTTTCTAGTCAGTAGCATGAGAGCTATGTATTAGAGTGTTGTAATATAAATACATAAACTATCTAGAGGTTTTTTCCTTCTTTTTTTCTATACCGATGATAGTTATGTTTGCTTTCTTCCTGTTGTATGAGAATTAAATTAACAAAATTAATTTTTGTTTTAATGATTTAAGAGTAACACCTAGCTAGTATTAACTAACTGTAGAAACAGTTCTTTTTTCAACTCAGACTTACCTAAAGTTAATGGGTAGTGTGTTGTTGATCTACTGTAGGAATATCATTGTGAAGATTTACATACTAAATAAGGTTTAGACTTGGTGTATAAATATCTATCATATATCTAGAATTGTATATTTTCTCTTTTGGACATGAAATCTCCATGGGAACGCCCAGGGTATAGTGTTGTAAGAGGCCACTTGTTTGTTCCCAGTTGCTTAGCCCTGAAATAATCACTCAGAAACTATATCAATTAAATCACTGCTTTGCCTATTAGCTCTAGTTTCTTATTGGCTATATCTTACATCTTAATTTAACCTATCTCTATTAATCTTTGTATTGCCAAGTGGCTATGGCTTACTGGCAAGGTTCTGGCTCATCTGTTTCTAGCAGTGGCTACATGGCATCTCTCTGACTCCGCCTTTTTTCTCCCAGCATTCAATTTAGTCCCCCCCCCCCACTAGCTCTACTCTTTTGCCCTATCACAAGGCAAGACAGTTTCTTTATTAACCAATGGTATTCAGAGCATACAGAGGGGAATCCCACATCAGTGTGGCACAGCCTTTGGCCCCAGAAGGGAGCATTGGTGTGGGTCTACTTCATCTGTCATTGAACCATGAAAGTCATTGTTTGTGTACCCTCATTTCACTGTATACCCAGTGTACAGTGTTTGCTCCAGGATACTTAGAAGGTATTGTAGAGTATAAAGTCTGAGTTTAAAGTGCAATTAATGTGAAATGTGTCCAGTTGATTCTTTAAGAAAAAGTTAAATGTCTCCTACCTCCCTTCTGGGCTATTGTAAGTCATTTTGTTGAGTTTTCAGAATTCTAGAGTCAAAGAAATATGGGCTTTGATTTTTAAGGGCATAGTCTAATAGATTGGGTTTCATTTTGTGGTAACTGTTTGAAATATTACTAAATAAGGTACTCCAAAGCAAATTGTTTCCATTTTGATAACAGGCTAAATTTGGCCGGAGGTGGACCAAAATCGCAACACTAGTTCAGAGTCGCACAGTTTTACAAGTGAAGACTTACGCCAGACAGTACTTTAAAAATCAGGTAAGAGGAGTGCAGATATCCTGAATGAGAATAACATTTTGGATAGAGTTAGTAAGCACAAATACTCAATACAGACAGTAAGGAGAGTCTGGATGGATTTTTGTTTTTTTGGGGGTGTTTGTTTTTTGTTTTCGTTTTTGAGACTGGATCTTACTATATAGCCCCAACTGGCCTAGAACAGTATGACAGTCATCCTGAATGCCGAGGTTGTAGGCATGCATCATCAGCTTCAGCTGAGTAGTCTTATTGTTAGGACTTTCTTAGCTAATGTAGTTTATACTTATGTAAGTGTTTTGGCTCTTGAAAAAATTGCTTATTTTATGTGTGCTGTGGCAAGAGTGTGGAGGTCAGAGGACATTGTGGGAATAAGTTCTTCCTTCATGTGGGCACTGGAGATTGAACTCACGGTGTTGAGCTTGGCTTACCCACCA